CAGGTGCTCTGGTGGGGATGCCTAACCCTGGCTGACCAGCCGAGCTGTGGTGCTAGGTGGGATGGAGGGGAGGGAGCTCTTTCCTTCCTGCCCACACTTCCGCTCTACACTCTCTGGCAGCCTGCCTGAGGTGCTTGGCTTCGTGGACATGCCCCCACAATGACCTAGCTGCCTCAATGTGGAGCTTTCCCACAGGCTGGGAAGCAACTCCAAGAGTGAAAGCATTCCAGCCGAGGGCTGCGTTTTCCCCCGTCTCTTGTCAGAGTTGCACGCCAGCCACTGTGTGAGGTCCCACTCCCTAGTTCATTGTGCTGGGGATGGGGAGGAGATCCACTTACCTCTTTCTACTGCTTTCCAGGGGATGCAGTACTCTTGCCTTGAGATGTATGGCTGCCTGGATCTCTCACACGTCTATTGTGTTGTGTGAGTCCCCTTTCTGTTAATGAATGTCCTTTTCATTGTATCTTAGTGGAGTGAGCCTAAGGGAACAGTTCACTTCACCATGATGCTGATGTCACTGGATTCTTTGATTTTTTGATGTTGAGTTATATGAGTTCTTTATGTATTTTGGATATTAACTCCTTATCACACATATCATTTGGAAATACTTCTCCTATTCAGTAGTTTGCCTTTTCACTTTGCTGATGATTTCCTTCACTGTGTAGAAACTTTTTAATTTGATGTAGTCCTATTTGTTTATTTTGGGCTTTTGTTGCCTTTGCCTGAGGAGACAGATTAAAAAAAATACTGCTAAGACCAATGTCAAAGAGCTGACTATGTTTTTTCTTCTAGAAGTTTTATGGTTTCAGGTCTTAGATTTAAGTCTTTAATCCATTTTGACTTTATTTTTTTGTATGGTGTAAAAACGTGGTTCAGTTTTCATTCTTTTGCATGTAGCTGTCCAGTTTTCCCAACACCATTTACTGAAGAGACTGTGTTTTCCCCATTATATATTCTTGCCTCCTTTGTCATAGATTAAGCATGTAAGTGTGAATTTATTTCTGGGTTTTCTATTCTATTCCATTGATCTATGTGTCTGTTTTTGTGCCAGTACTATACTGGTTTGATTACTATAGCTTTGTAGTATAGTTTGAAATCAGGGAATGTGATCCCTCCAGCTTTGTTCTTCTTTCTACAGATTCCTTTGGCTTATATCATTGGAAGGTGCACTTCAAGTTTCTTTGATGTGAGCATTCTTGACTGTCTTTGGCCACAGAATCTCAGAGGAACCTTTTGTTTGGGTTCTTGAAAAAAACGTGATCTTCCTGCCCCTTCTTTAAGCAAATCTCATTTGCCATTCTTCTTGCCTCTGATGCTTGCTAAATTGTTGATGGAGCTCAACAGCTTCTACATCCTTAATGTCAATTTAGCTCTTTTCAGTGAAGGTCAAATAAATGGAAAACTACGAGGCCAATATTTCGAGACTTTCGCTTTTGTTGTACTGGTTATAGTGTTGTGATAACTGGGGATAGGGTGGAAGATGGAGCACTCCTCCCCCAGGGTTCACAGTCTAGCTTAGGAGACAGTGCATGTACACCACTGTGTTAATTTACATGAAAAGATAACCAGTAATTGCTTTATGAAGCCTCTGCTTGGCACCAGAATGTGTTCTGGAAGTCTTCCTTATTAAGTGGATCATTTTTAATCAGCATTTTTTTTTCTCTAATAGGGATTCAATATAACTAGAGTCATGATATAATTTATTGTCCAAACCCTGACACTTTGGAAAATGATGAATAGTTATTAATAATTAGCCATATATAATAGGGATAAACTATAGCAGTCCTAGGCAACCTGGGATTTAGTGTCATCCTAATTAAATCAGAGATAAACAAGGACTCAAGCATCCAATCAGAATGACACAGAAAGAATGACTCAGCAATTCTAAATCTGTAATTCAAATAAAACATTATACTCTAAGTTCCCTAAAATGGACAAAACAAGTTATATATGGTTAATTAAAAGTAGGCCCTGAGCTACGATAAAGTGTTTGTTTAGCATATAAAAATATGACTTTACTGTAGTGTAAATTTGTCTTATATAAAACTAATATGATGCTTGCTGTGATAAAGATTAATCAAGTTCTTAATTAAAAATAGTTTTCTTGTCTTCTTTGATTTTAGCGTTGGTGAGGAAGATTGGCTCTGAGCTAATATCTGTTGCCAATCTTTCTCTTTTTGCTTGAGGAAGATTGTTGCTGAGCTAACATCTGTGCCAGTCTTTCTCTTTGGGATGCTGCCATAGCATGGCTTGATGAATGGTGTGTAGGTCCATGCCTGGGATCTGAACCTGCAAACCCCAGGCTACCGAGGTGGAGTGCACATGCTTAACCACTATGCCACCAGGCTGGCCTGAAGATCTCTGGTATCTTTAAAAGGCAGGCTGTCCAGGGAAGTTTGAACAGATGTCATTTTTTTTTCTCTTCATGAATTTATTAGAGACAGCAAAGAATGTGCAGTTTTTTCCATTTTCATCTGTTTCTCTCTTTATTCACATATCCATCCATTAAGTCAACAAATATTTATTGAGCAGCTGCTGTGTGCTGAGCCCTGTATACTGGGAACACAGTCACCAATGGGATATGGTTCCTGTTTCTTTGTATCTGTCTTTCTCTTTCAGCTCTCATTGATTTTTCATCTCCCTCCCTCTCTCTTTTCCTTTCTCTTTAAAGCAAACTCTTGTGGGATTAGGTTCCTCAGTTTCTGTATTTGGCAGAGAATTTGACTATTCGGTCAAATACTTATAAAAGTCTTATAAGACTTATAAAAGTCTTAATAAAGCAAGACAAACATGCATCTGTGACCCATTTCCTAAAATCAATACACTTGCAGGAAAATAAATTCCAAGTTAACAACAGAGCAAGAGAGTGTAGCTAAATGCAAGTTTCCAGCAAGCAGTAGAATTCTAGTGAAATGTCTCTTTAGTTTATAAGCTTTTGCATATAAGTTCTGCTAATATCACTTTACTCTGCTTTTCTCCTCTTCAAGAGGAGCGCAGATAATTATAGCAAAGTGAATTTGATATCCAAGATAAGCATTCGGGGAATGGAAAGTAGTTAAGTGGGGCTGGAAAAGAGAATGCAAGTTGAGGAGTCGGGGTAGTTGTTGGTTAACGGCAAGAGATTTGGCTCAAGAAGTAAGCACAAGTCTTACAAGCTGTCTTAAGGATCTTGAACTTTTATCCTGAAGGCAAAATTTTTTATTTTGTTTTGTTTTTTAATCAAGAGAGTGAAGTGATTGTTTTTACCTCTTAAGAATCCTCTTTACCTCTTGGGAAGGTGGTTGGAAGGGAGATCAGTATGAATGATGGCAGAGCAGTGAAGGTTTTAGAAATTCAGTGGATAGTGACCTGGACTAGGAGATGGAGAGAAGTATGGATTCCAAAAAATAACAGATGATTGAATGTGGGTGCCTTGGGTTGCAGACTGTTGCTAGATTTTTCTTACTTTAGTGTCTGGAGAACTGTGGTGCCATTTAGTGAAATGCGCAGGGGGAAACACAAGACATTAAGCAGATTTTCACTTAAGCCTGTGGGTGCAATCAAAATTGATATCAGTCTTCTAGGAATAATCAGAGTAGCATCTAACATTTGGATTCCCTCACTAAGGGCTTTGGTTGTGAACATTTGGAAAAGAGAAACTTATCACAGCTGATTTTTGTAGTTCATTTCCTTTGCTTTTTTCTGCCTTTTCTAATGACATCAAGAGTCACCTTACAGGGCTGGCCCGGTGGCACAGTGGTTAAGTTCACACGTTTAATTCGGCGTCCTGGGGTTTGCCGGTTTGGATCCCGGGTGCGGACATGGCGCTGTTTGGCAAGCTATGCTGTGGCAGGCATCCCACATATAAAGTAGAGGAAGATGGGCGTGGATGTTAGCTCAGGGCCAGTCTTCCTCAGCAAAAAGAGGAGGATTGGCAGCAGCTGTTAGCTCAGGGATAATCTTCCTCAAAAACATTAAAAAAAAAAAGTCACCTTACAAAGAAAGGGAAATCACAAAGGACAGTCTGAAGCATGAGAATGTGTGTGTGCGCATGCAGGTGTGTTAGTGATGGTGGCTGAGGATGGTGTTGATGGTTCATTGTCTCGGTTGATAAACCTCTGGCCTCTCTCACCTCAGTGACAGTCTGAATAGGAAAAAAAAAAAGTTAGTGAAAATTGCATAGCATCCTCATTAAGAGACTTCTAGGTTCAGGTTGCCTGGGTTGCACTTCTGGCTTTGCTACTTAACTAGTTGTGAGATCTCAGACAAGTCATCTCTTTGTGTCTTCATCTGCAAACTAGAGATAATAATAGTACTGACCTCATTTTAAAGTCTTCCCTAAGTTTTATGTAAAATACTTGGAATGAGTTACTGTGTTTACAATGTTCAGAACAGTGGGCGGGACTATTATTGTGACATATTTTCTTTAGGCAAATAGAAGGAACAGAACCACAGGTAATGGACAGGGTCTTAAGTGGGAGGATTGACGGGATTACACCATAATGACCTTTTTGTCCTGGATCTATGATTTTAGACCCTGTAGATAATGCATGCCATATAGGTGGGGTCCTTGTGAATTGTTCCTCCCAGTGAGATCATGTCATAGTAGTAGTAGCAGTAGCAGTGGCAGTGATGAGAAAGATAGGAATAGCTTATGTGTAACCACCACATCAACCTTATGAGGTGTAGATACTTCACCATCCCAGTTTTGCAGGTGAGGATACTGACTCTTAGAGGGGTTATGCAGCCACCCAAGGCTGCTGAGGTGGTGAGTACTGGAGCTGGGATGCAATCCAGCCAGTCTAACTTGAAAACCTGTGCTTTTTAGCCACTACCCTGTATTGCCTCTATAGAGTGTGTTTAAATAGTCCCAGTTCACTCAGCAGCCCCTCGTAAAAGAGTGGAAAGTAGCTTCATTTTCATTAAAGGTCATTCGTGGTTACCTTGACTATCAGGGTCTGAAACTTCAGGTCTGGATAGTATAAGATATCATTAATCTCTTTTTTCCATTTCTTTTTTAGATATCAGTTTTTCTTGCAGGTGAAGCAAGATGTCCTTCAGGGCCGGCTGCCCTGCCCTGTCAACGTGGCTGCTCAGCTGGGAGCATATGCCATCCAGTGTAGGTTCCACTTAAGCAAATTTGCTTCAGATGTCTTGAGAAAAATATTTGAATTTTTCTTTTTAAGCAAATTTATATACCAAAATTCATGTCAAATGACATTTTGCTAAAAAAGTTGAATGTAGTCGTAACTCAAGTTTTAATCAGTGTCCTTTCAGAAGGGGTAAAAATGAAGCTGGTTAAATATCCCTTGTAGTAAGTCACAAGGAGTCTTAGTCACAGGAATGATACTGATTCTTGATGACGTGGATGGTCTGAAAATCTGCTCTATTCTACAGCCCACCTGAGTTCATTGATCCCTCAAAGCTATTATGTCTCAGAGATCACGTTGCTTCCAGGCAGCTGTTGTGAAGACTCCATGTGATCAGGTGGCAACGCCAGTTCAGAATGTGGCACATGTGTGGTACTCATTGAGCTCTTGGCATCAATATGGCAGCCATGTGGGGCGGCTTCAGCTTGTCCTTCATTTTAGACACTGAGGCTGAGGCTGTTTCCACTTATAACTGCTGAGACCCTTCTAAGAATCAAGCTAGGTATCGGGGCAACGAGACAGCATATTCTTTGCCTTTGTGGCATTTGAAGACCAGAAACAGTCTAGGAAAAATATTCCAGGAAAAATGTTACATAGATGAACTGGATTGGGCTTGGAAGCTGGATTAATGTAGAGAGAAGAATTTTTATGAGCCTAATATAGTGAGCTTTCTGGTTTCATTTTGCTTCTGTGTGTAAAGTGTAATGGGGTTATGTGCAGCATTGTATTATATTTCCATGATAATTATTTGGGGCAAATATGTTTTGAATCACATGTTCTATCTCTTGGTGTCATTGTCTGAGAGGATGTATTGGGGTCATGGTTGTTTTTCATCTTGGCATTTCCAAAATATATACTCTAAATTCTGTTTACAGTATTTTATTTCATATAAACTGCTAAGTATAGTTGAAGTGAAAATAATGGTAATTGTAGTCTTTCAGAAAGCAAAAATATAGAACTTATGTTTTTAAGACAAGATTTTGTTTATACCATCCATATATGCTCACCAGAGTTGTTTTTTACTAAAATTATTTTGTTATTATCTTATATATGAATTTATTAATAAGGTATTTGAAGAAAATGTTTAAGTATGATAGGAATAGCTTCCAAAAATGGAAAAAATTATAATTTATTTCTTTTTTAGCTGAACTTGGAGATTATGACCCGTATAAGCATACTGCGGGATATGTGTCAGAGTACCGGTTTGTTCCTGATCAGAAGGAAGAACTCGAAGAAGCCATAGAAAGGATTCATAAAACTTTAATGTAAGAATCACATTTTATTGACTATCGTCAACATGCTGTACATTAGATCCCCAGAACTTCATCTTATAACTAGAAGTTTATACTCTTTGACCAACGTCTTTCCATTTCCGACACCCTCCAGCCCCCGATGACCACCATTCCGGTCTCTGTTTCTATGAGGTTGGCTTTTTTAGATTGTACATACAAGTAACATCATACAATGTTTGTCTTTCTCTGCCTTATTTCACTTAGCATAATGCCCTCAAATTCCATCCCTGTACTTGAAAGTTGCTAAGAGAGTAGACCTTAAATGTTCTCACCATAAAAAAGAAACGGTCATTATGTGACATGATGGAGGTGTTAGCTAATGCTACATAGTAATCATTGTCCAGTACTTAAGTGTATCAAATCAACATGTTGTGCATCTTAAACTTACACAGTGTTACATGTCAATTATATCTCAGTAAAGCCAGGAAAAAAAGATCACATCTTATGTTGCATCATCCATCAATCATCATCTTACGCTACTGGCAGGCTTAAGAAAAGTTTCTAGAAAGATAAATGCATCGCCTATGCCTTGAACATTCTAGCGTTCTTTTTCTTTTTAAATTTTTTTCTGCTTATAATACTAAAATGCTCATAGGAAACCCAAACAATTTAAAAAGTATAAAGGAGAGAGTAAATCCCAGTACCTAAAGTCAACATATTTTTGGTTAATGGCCTTTAAGACCTCTTTGTGCATAATTTCCCATAGAGAAAATTGGTTTTGTATAGATTTATGTATGATTTCACAAAAGTGGAATTATTCTGTATATACTGTATTTTGCAGTCTTCTATTTTTTCAGTCACCAGTCCCTTGTGAAATGTATTTTTTTAGCTACAAATGTATTTTATGACCATAAAAGCCTTAATGCATTCTGGATTTGCTCTGTCTTGAATATGTAAATTCTTCACAGTTATAAGCACAGTCCTGTTTAGTCTATAGCAACAAATCTGGAAATCATGATGACACCATTATGAAGTCTCAGAGGGTATTATGTTAACACCCTAGGCCCTTCTGATAATATACATACTCCCCTAGTAAGATTTTCAATTAATGGCCTGCAGCGTTGAAGTTATAATTTAATTATAGTTATTTTGGTTAAATCCTCTATACTGATTAACTTTGCTTTGTTGCCTCTTATGTAACATTCCCTCTTCAATTTGGTTGGTTTCAGATCTATTACAGTTAAGAAAAAAAAGGTAGAATTAATCTGGTCAACAAAAAATGTTTGCCTAAAGGATCTGTTTCAGTGAGTAGCAGCAGAAGTCAATTACTGAACTGCAATCAGAGAAACCGGGCTCTCCATTTTGTATTAGCGTGCACCAGAAGGCTCTCCAGCCTGATTTTAGAGCTCTTCATTTTAAGGTTTTGCTGAAGTGGATGCTAAGAGAGTGCCTGTTATAACATTATGAAGGGCAGTGTGTTTGGCACATTCTAAGAATACTACTTCTACTAGGAATTTCAAAGTACAATTATATTTTGAAATTATCAAGGAGCTTTGGGTAAAGGGCCTTATATGTTTTATGTGATGGTGTTGACAGTGTGACTGTTGTTTTTAAGAGAATAAAGCTTGATCAGGGTTTGGTAGCTTTCTTGTGCCTAATTGTGATGAATATTCTTCACTGGTTTTAAAAGTATGGTCTAGTGCTGGGTTTTCCAGGGTACCGTGGCTGAAACATGGGAATGCATCAAAGCAGTGTTTCTTAATTTTTAAAAATTCACAGCTCCTTTTGATAACCATTAAAAATCTTTCTGTCTCTCTGACACACACACACACACACACACACACACACACACACCCACCCACCCCCACACACAGCCCCCCCACCCCCCCCCACTCGTCTATGGAGATTCTTGACAGATACTCACCTGTATAAGGAATGAATGCTGTTTTCTGTATGTTATCACCAGTGAAGATTTCTATACTTTGTGTTAAAAAAGTGACAAGTATTTTTACAATTTATAAATACTAATGTGCTCAGGAGATGCTGATTAGACTCTGGTTGGGTGGTGGGGAGTCCGTACTCTTCCTCCTGCCCACCGCTGCTCTCATTCCTTTTCCTCCTAATGGAGAGCTGCTGGTGTTTGGAGACATTTTATTCCTTGTAATGGGTATGCCTTTTAATTTGAGTGCTTATATTCTCAATAATCTCTTTGGGTGTTTCTGAAACTGAGCATTTTTAATATATGCTGGGACACTGGGATTGGCTATAATGAGCAAAAATAAATTTGGTAAACGAAATAACTTAATACAAGTATCACCTCAGAGTATAAGATTTTGTCACCAAGAAGGCAAGGGGCTTCTTGAACTACGGAGACTTATGTTTACATTAGCACAAAGGATTATTTATTTTTCCAGTGGTTATAGTGGAGATGGTTTACATTTCCTGTAAGTGCGGTAGCTACCAGTAAAGTAAGGCTCTTTGTTTTTATGTTGGGTGTAGGGGTCAGGCTCCTTCTGAAGCGGAACTGAATTACTTGAGGACTGCCAAGTCCCTGGAGATGTATGGCGTTGACCTCCATCCCGTCTATGTGAGTAACATTTAATTAACACAAAATATTTTAAGCTGATGACATTTTTCTTAAAAAGTCACTGAAACTCCCAAAGGAGAGCTACAGTGCTGTCGTTCAGGGAGCAGAGGATACTTTTTCATCTGTGTTTTTTGAACATAAAGAATCTCTTGCATGAATTAAACCCTGATGAGTTTTGCATAAAAGTCTGATTATATTTCCATATGTAGAAAACAATTAACTGGGCTTGAAAACACAATCTGGATAACAGCTCCAAAGGGCTTAGCTAAATGTCAAAACAATTTAAAATTGGTGTGTAATTGATTGTATTTGACAGAAAACAGGAGGATTTTCCAAAAACAGATTTTATGGCTGAAATATATTCTTAAAGTCACTTGCCAGGTAAAGTAGGCTTTAGGCAACAGTATAGGTGCAACTATTGGTGGTTCTGTTGGACATGCAGTTTCTGTCAGTATTAGGGTTACTGCCTGCTGTAGTTATTGCCGCTGCATTAACAGAAATATTTTTGCAGATTTTCTTCAGGGGCTGATGAAAACTTGTCAAATACAGTCAATGAACAATTACACTAAATCTGTGTTGAGTGTTCTGGATTCAGGTCTTAACCTGTGAGCCAGTTCTCTAAGGTTACTGATTATTCTCTCTGCCAGTGAGATTGAAATGTCATTGCCTTTCATTTTATAAGAGTTTAGTTAGTGATAGTCAAATTCGATTATTTGAGAAAATGAACCAGGATGCCTTATTCTTTGCATGAAATGAATCGCTAAAGATTATATATAGAGTAAACGTCAATTGGATTATGGAACTCAGTTTCTAAGGAACCCTGATAAAACTTCCTGTAATGCAAGTAACTCATTCATGCATTCATTTTGTAATATGTCTTTTGCTTCTCAGAGTTTCTTAAAAAACAAGAAATCATCTTATTATTTGTAAAGAGTTAGAAGCATCCGTGGGTGTACCATTAATATGGCAATAAAAGTTACATATTTTGGGGAAGAAGTAGTTCCCTGATATATTAGAATCGAATCTCATTAGATCATTAAATGCTCCACACTACTGTCCTTTAAGAATACCTCTAAAACTTTGTGGAATAGTTATCTTTTTCTAGCCACATTAATCTTGTTAGGTTTTCAGTTTTTTAAAAAATATATTTTATAGGAAATGTATAAAGAGAAAGTCTTCTGCAAAATACTCCTGTATTTGGGTAATGTTTCTCCTGATTGACAAACACTTTTTTTGCGGTTAGTTGGAATTTGTGGCAAATGAACTGGATTCATTAGAATCTTCATACATTCCTTTAAGGTTGACTTTTTCGAACTGAAAGTGGGCAACAGGTGGTATCCTTCCAAAACGTATTAGTTGTCTTGTGTTCCTTGGGAATGTGACTTTGCAGGCTATTATTTGACCTTAGAGTAGAAGTAAGATTAGTACAAACGGACAGTTCTGTGTATGTCCTTGGTACCCACTCTGTGACTTTTTGATTTCAGAATCCCATTTTCTTAACTGGGATTTATCATAGGCTAGAAATTAGGGGTCTCCAGTCTGTACTAGAGAGATTGTAATTTTAAATTTTTGAGCAGTCTTAAAGTCATAAATGGAAGTAGGAAGGAACATGAGAGAGACCTTACAAAATCCAAGAGTGTGTCTGCAGGCGGTGCCTGAACTTTCTGGAGAGGGTGGTGCTGAACCAGCCCTGGTGATTCAGGGCCACATCAGAGGGTGAGGGCAAGATGATCCCTTGGAAGGGACCCTTGATAGAACCCAGTGGCTCTCAATCCTTGGCTGCACAGCAGAATCACCTGGAGCATTTATGTGTTTTTGATGCCTGGGCCCCGTTACAGATTCTGATTTCACTGGTAGCACCCAGGCATCAACATTTTAAGCTGCACAGGTGATTCCAATTAATGTGTGGCCAGGGTTGAACACTACTGTAGAGGCAACATGGGGTGAGTGGATCAGTGGCCTGATTGGTAGTCCAGGTTCTTTTAATGAACTGAAGTTACAAGTATGAATGCACTAAGAAAAATTTTCTTGAAAAACTTTAAAAAAAATAAGCAAGTTAACTACCATCGTAGCTTAGCTAGCTTCCTAAGCTGGTGGCTCTCAAAAACTAGATGCAATGTTAATGTAACAAGTTATGTTTGTATGGCCAATTGCAGTTTAACAAAGAGCTTTTATGTGAATAAATTCATGGTTATAGGCATGTATGTGTTTGTTTTTTGCAGGGAGAAAACAAATCTGAGTATTTCTTGGGACTAACTCCAGTTGGTGTAGTTGTCTACAAGAATAAAAAGCAAGTGGGGAAGTATTTCTGGTAAGTATAACTTGAGGGCAGAGTTGGTATTAAAGTTCTACACTGTGTGTATTGGGCTCGTGGGACTTATGTGTCAGTGACAGGGTTGGGGGAAAGAAAACAGGTACCTTTCCAGTGGTTGATCAATATATGAGTGAATTTGGGTATAAATTTTCTTCCAATGTTGTCTCAGTATATACTTTCTCTGTAAATTTCAGGTACTGTGATTCTAGACTCTCTTGTCCATGGAAACTGTAGGTAGTAGGGTTTCCTACCTGTTCCAGTGTGTGTGGGTGGGCTGTGGGCCCGGGATTACTCTGAGTTCTAACTCTGAGTGGGAAAGGATCTGAGAGAGACTGGGGGTCCTATAGCACTACACTAAGTCTGGGAAGGCTGCTCTGCCGGGGTCTGGGGATTCCAAGCTTGTCTGCATTCAGGGGAGAAGCACAGGGGAATGAGAAGGGAGATTTGTTTAGGAGGATGTCCAGAGAAAGGATGGACAGGGAACTCTCTACCATTACTGCAGCAGTATCTAAGGGAGCCAGTAGGAACCAATCTTTTTCCACTGGATACTTCTCAGAATTTGTGAAAGATTAATTCTTAAAAACGGCAACACCATCACCGTCTGCTTTGTTTTTCAGGCCTCGAATTACAAAGGTTCACTTCAAGGAGACACAGTTTGAACTCAGAGTACTGGGAAAAGATGTAAGTTTTTGTTTAGCACTCAGCTTAACTGAGAAGGGAAGTCTTGTCTGCTCATTGATAACTTAGACGTGGCGAAGTAAAACCACCGTGTTTTCTTCAGCTGCAGCCACATGGAACCAGGTGAATTGACTCAGGTGAACAGTTTTTCTCAAGGAAAGCAAAGAGGAGTAGAAATGAGTAAGGTGATAATGGAGAAATGTCATTTTAGTTTTAACAAAGGAGAAAAAACTTTCTAGGGCACAGGAGAGAATAGGAGGTGATTATCATTATTAGTGTAATTTGTTCTTCCGTTCTGTGAAGGTAGGATTCATATAATCAGAAGGGTGCAGCCTGTATACAGGATAAAAAGTGTCTAATTTTGTCCCAAAGTAAAGTAAACAACCTGTAGGGAAGTCACACCTCTGTTCCTTCCCTAGTTGAGCATGGTAGATAAACCAGATGGGAAATTCTGGACGCTTTCAAGGGAGAGTGTAAGGTGGGGGTACAGAAATGCTGAACTTCTCTCTGCAGCTTGGCAGTGTCCTCCAGGGGTGCTGGGGTAATGGGTACAGTTTATCAGAGTCTGAAGGTGCTTTCATGCCTTGACAGGTAGCTGTTAGGAAACTGGGCAAAAGAAAGCACGGATGTGAAAGCTTCCTTTAATCTACCTGTGAAAATAATGCTCCCTTGGAGTGCTATGACTATAATCCAGTTTATTGGATAAATGAGTGAAAATAGGAGAATCCCCTTCTGTCTCTTTGATACCAATTTTATGCAGAACAAAAACCTAAGTGAATGGCATTGAATTGACTTTCTGATGAGATACTTGTTGTAAAAAAGAGGTAAATAAACTCTGTGCTTATGCATCCATAGGAAAGGCATGGTTGCAACTACAGCTGGAGCAGAGTATCTGTCATAGGCCCCATGTAGCAGATACTCACTAAACATCTGTCAAATGATCAATGGACTGATCTGCTGAGGTTATGTACTGCCAAATCAGAAAAGCTGATGCCACTATTTGTTCTTCTAGAGAAAATACACTGCTCCCTCCCTGAACTGTGTGACATGCTGCCATTTATTGATAAAATTAAAGTTGGATTTTGAAATGAGTTTGAACTTGTAAAGAGGGGAAATTCCAGATTTTTAAAGAAATGATAGTCCAAAAACTCATAGTAGTTCTTAATGGTCTGGTTGGAAGGAAATCCAGTTTTCTTCAACTCCTGTAATTACACACATCAGTCTTAAAAGATGTTTTAATATAAAGTCGAATTAAAATTATTCAAAAAGTAGAATAGCTAGTTAGATAGTAGGGTTATACAGTTTTCTCCCTATCCTGCCTCTGGTTTCATGTGACTTAGTAATGCAGTGAGTAAGGTCTGTTCAATACATTGAAAAAAATGTTTCAAGTTTTTAATAAGAATGTGATAAAATGATGACTTTTCCTGAAAGCATTACTACTATTCAGAGTCATTTTTCCTCTTATACCTAGGTTATTTTTGTGAGTGAGGTCCTCTGGTGAACTACTTTTATGTTATTATTACAGTGCCTTAAAAGGTCATCTTCTGCCTCAGGATAGATATTTGTTAGTCAGCTAACTTAAACTTTCAGCTTCTTAGATTTCTTCATTATTAGGTGAAAACAACAAAATGGATATCTTCATGTTATTTATTTTTTTTGAGGAAGATTAGCCCTGAGCTAACATCTGCTGCCAATCCTCCTCTTTTTTCTGAGGAAGACTGGCCCTGAGCTAACATCCGTGCCCATCTTCCTCTACTTTATATGTGGGACGCCTACCACGGCATACAGCAGTGTGTAGGTCTATACCCAGGATCCCAACCGGCAAACCCTGGGCTGCCAAAGCGGAATGTGTGAACTTGACCGGTGCACCACCGGGCTGGCCCCTTCATCTTGGTTTTTTCATGGTGGTCTCCATGGCAAGACCTGGTTTCGTACACACTGAGCTCAGCCCTAGTCCCTTCTGCAGCTCTAAGGAGGAGTGGTTGTGTGGGTGTGGCCGCAGGCACTGCACACTCCTGGTCGTTAAGCGTAGTGTCAGTGATCTTTTTTAAGGTGGCAAAGCAGGTCGCATAACTCGGGCCTGAATCAAAGGGGTTTTTTCTAAAAATGTATTAAATAGCACATTAATTTAACCAAAGCACTCGTTTCCTGAGCATTCTTCCTTTGCGGAGTCTTTCTCCTTCCTCCACCAGGGTACTTCTCTGTGAGGCAGTGATTTACATCATGGTAGAATTAAGTTGATTATTATGGAGGCCTAACTGTAATCATAGATTAAATTAAAAAGCCCCCTGAAACCCATCACCTGGAACAATAATCACAGTCAGCTTGAAAAATGGTTGAAATGCTTATTCTGCTGGTTTTCTGGTTGGCTGGTGAGGTCACAGAAACTTAACTCAGCATGTTCAGCACTGTGAGGGCTGAGTTCAGAGATTCAGTTGCCAAAAGAACAGCGATGTCCTACAGATAAAAGATATGCCTGGTGTCACACTAAGCCACAAACACTGTTCAAATCCACTTTTTATTGTTAACTGTGTCCAGCATACACGTTAACATATCATAATAAATACGAATAATGTATTAACATGTACTGTTTATCTGTCGATCTATTACTTTGCATCCATAAATAACAATCTCAGCTTTCTCAGATATAACTTTAAAGAGTTCAGTGATTCATTTTTGAGAGAGCAACAAATAAGTGTCTGCAACTAAATACTGGTTTCGTAAAAATTTATCCCTCTGACAGATTGAGAAGCTAATTATTATAAATATTTTTATGCCTTATTTAAGCTTCAAAATACGTACTGTAGTTTAAATAATACTTCATAGAAAAATCTAAACTTTTTGTAGGAAGATCTTTACATGATGATTGTAGAAAATCTGGGAAATACACTGTAAAGAAGAAAATTAAAATTATCTTTTAACCTAAAATTCAGAGGTAGTGATTATTACTTTGGTACAATCTCTTTCAGATTTGTTCCCCATTAGAGTAAATGTATAATAGGTATATAAACATGGACATACATCATGCCCTATGTGGTTTTTGTACACAGATTTTATACTTAATATCATAACCATTGCTCCTTTTATTATGTTATTCATATGTGCCTATATGGCCTTTGATAGTGTTTTATTTTTATGTTTTACTTTTTTTTCTTAATATTGTGGGTGAATTTTTTCCTCCTATTATATCTTGTAACTGATTTTTACTAGTAGAAGTGAAAGCTGTGGAATTTTATGTTCATCTCAAATCTGGCCATTTTGCTGAATTCTTGTGTTCTAGCCGTGGGTTCTTAATTTGATTCTCATAAATTTTTATAAGTATATAATTGTATCACTCACAAATAAAAATAATTTGTTCCCTCATTTCTGTTATTTATGTTTCATATTTTATAGTGTTGGTCAGAACTTCTAGAAGAGTGTTAGGTGATCTAGCAATATAAGGCATCTTTGACTGATTTCTGATTTTAGTGAAAATATCACTATTGTTCCACCACTTATGTGTTAGCTCTTGGTTTTAAGAATATGTGATTATTATCAGGGGTTTAAATTTTTTCAAAGCCTGTTATCAAATGGAGGCTTTTCACTGAATGCCTAGACAGCAAAGATTGTTGCTTGTTCACTCATTCAGCAACTGAGGCTTATTTCAAAAATCCAGGCGAGAGATGACAGAGGCCCAGACCAGGGTAGCAATTGGTGAGAAGCTGTTGGATTCTGGATTTAGCTACATGGTTTTGTGGATGTGGGGATGTATGAGAGAGAGAGGTCCTGGTGGCTTAGAGGTGTTTGGCCTGAAGGGCAGGAAGAATGGAGCTGCCATCAAGCGAGGTGGGGAAGGCTGTGAGTAGAGCAGGTTTAGGGGGAAGATCAGAAGTCCCATTTTTAACATGTTGAGTTTGAGATGTCTGTTATACAGCTAAGTGGAGACATTTAAGAAGTGGGTTGTATGAGTCTGGAGTTGGGGACCAAAGTCTGGGGAGAATATTCAGATTTGAGAATGAATGACATATCCTGGTATTCAAAGCCCTGAGACTGTGGGAGGTCACTAGGAGAATGTGTCTAGATAGGAGGAGAGAGAACCAGAAAAGGAAGCTGAGAAGGAACAACCAGGGAGGTAGAAAGAACACTAATTGTCCTCAACTTTTGCCTAGTAAAACTTTTGTATTACGTGAGTGAGGATGATGCTGATATGTCAATTAAGAGAAAGACTGAGAATTGACCGCTAAATTTAGGACTGTAGGAGGTCATTGATAAGACCAGGTTTAGTAGATTGAACAGTGAGCTTTAACCCAGCAATTCTACTCTTAGGTCTGTGTCCCCTAGAGAATCACAAGGGACATGTATGTTCATTGCAGCACTTATGTGAAAGTAAAAAAACCCAAAAAACCCAAAAGTCCATTAATGGGAGAATGAACACCTAAATTGATGCAGATTAATTAAGAAAAAATACAGAAGGAGGTAATAGGAGTGGAATTGGAGATGGTGAGTGTAGACAACTGTTTTGAGGAGTTTTGGCACAAAGAGAAACAAATAGGAAGATAGCTGGCAGAGGAGATGTTTTTTCTCTTGTTTTTTAAGTTGTAAGGAATAATAGCACATTTATACCCTGTTGAGAATGATCAAATATATGGTGAAAACTTGATGATGTAGGAGAGAGGGAATTGCTGGAATGAATGGTGGGGATGACATCTAGTGTATAAATGGAGGGATTGGTTTTAGAGGGCAGCCAAGACAGTTCATCTGTGGTTAACAGGTAGGAAGATGGAGCATGGGAATGTAGATTAGGGTATGTGGATAGTTCTCTTATGATTGTTCTGCTTTTTATTTTGAGGGAACTAGGTAAAAAGGTCATCAGCTGAGACTGAGGTTGGGGAGGAAGTGTTGGAGTCTGAAGGAAGAAGAAGGTATGAAATAGTAATTTTAGAGAGAAAATGGACATGTGGTTTGATATCATATGATAGCTTGGTAATATGGAGGGTCGTGAATTTAAAGTGAGCCCAGTCCCG